TATAACTGTTATATTAAAAATATTATTTTATTTAAAATTATATTTCATAGATACAAATACTCTGTTAAATCGACCGCCAGAGGTCACGCTTCCCCTAAAAAAACTCATTGTTGTTGTTTCCCGATGGCCTTCCAGTAAGAAAACATCTTTCTCTAAAAGACACTTTGGCTCTGTAATTATGTATTGTTCTTTACAAAGAGGCTCAAAAATAATTCATTTTGGTTAGCAGCCCCGTAAATAAAGATATTTTCTCTTTCCCGTTGGCCGGCTCAAAACTTTTGTACATTATGTAAATAAGTTTTTCATTTTTAGATTCTTACGCCTTAAGTCAGGCAGTACTTTTATCAAATTATGTTTTTAAATATTCCTTTATCTCAATAAAAACAATTACTGATCAAAACTATTTTTATTATTATTCTTTCAAGATTTTAACTACGACTGCATTACCATAGCATAATCCTCAAGATAATCAAATTCAAGCAGAAAATCTCATTTTTTATATATAACATATATATATATATATATATATTGTTACATCAATTTTAATGCGCCTTACATTTATTCAAAATATTCTATGATATTTAATATTTATTTAAAACAGAATATTTAGATTATTTTCATTCCTTTTTATACTTTCATTAATTTTGTAATATTTTATTGTACATATATCTTGATTGGTTATTGGAGCGAGAGAGGACCTAGACTACGGATCACGACCTACGAGGAAGACAACGAATAAATAAACTCAATAACTTTAAAATGTAATTTATTTTATTTACTTTTATTTATTTCCTTTGAATATAGAAACCCGCTCGGGAAACGTATATAATACCAAAAAGGAAGAAACCAAGGTCGAAGACCCTGCAACTTGGTGCAACAATATCCACATAATTTAGAAGAAATAAAAACTTACATAATTATAGAACCCAATGCAACCTGGCAAGTTATTTTGTATAGCTAGGCACAAACAGTAACGAATGATCTGAAATCATTAGTTTTAATGTTTTATTTATGTTCTTATTTCTGGTTCTTATTTTTCCAGCTAACTTCACCTACATGATATAGACTGACACGATACTAAATATATAGCATTTCAAGTCAGTTAGGAATTCTAATATATGGTTTGTTGGGGCTGAAAGACGAACGAGAAGTGCTCCTCAGTGAAATAGTCCTTGAGGGACTCGCTTTGGAGCTTCTGTTGAATGAGGTGGTGAGAAACAGAGCTGGAGCGTTTGCGTTGTTCAAATTTTGGAAGACGGCTGAAGAGAAGGGGAAGCTATATACATAATCTAATTGATGTAAATAATTATATGTAAATAATCTTTGTCAGGATTAGAATGACAAATCCTGTATGGGACTTTGATTCCAGTAAAAGGCTTGTTGCTGCTGCTGTATACGAGGTGTGTTCAAAAAGTATCGCGACATTTGCATTTTCGCGGGTTACGTAAATTCGAATTACGATCTTTTTGTGGCTTTATGTTGGTACTCATGTGTCTCACTTATGCCGACAAGCTCGGCCATTTTGAATGTTCACTTAATTTTTGACAGCTGCTTTGCTTGCAGGTGTTTTGGATCGTCTTCGATTTTTACCTATTAAAAAAATGGATCGAAGAACCTGTATCAAATTTTGTGTGAAAAACGAAATTAAGTGCGCGGATGCATTCCGAATGTTGACTGTGGCATACGGAGAAGCTACCTTGGAACGAAGCAACGTTTATCGGTGGTACAAAATGTTCTCAGAAGGCCGAGAAGATGTGAACGACGAAGAGCGTGCCGGACGCCCGAGCACTTCAACAACAGACGAAAAAATTAATGAAGTGGAGAAAATGATATTGGCCAATCGTCCAATCACCGTTAGAGAAGTTGCTGAGGACCTAAACATATCGATTGGCTCGTGCCATTCGATTTTTATCAATGATTTGTGCATGAGACGGGTCGCCGCGAAATTCGTACCAAAATTGCTCAATTGCGACCAAAAACGGCATCGCATGAACATTGCTAATGAGATGTTGGACTCTGTCCGCGACGACCCAAATTTGCTCCAGAGGGTCATAACTGGTGACGAAGCGTGGGTTTATGGTTATGACGTGGAAACCAAAGCTCAATAATCTCAATGGAAGCTGCCGCACGAACCAAGACCGAAAAAAGCGCGCCAAGTTCGTTCGAATGTGAAAGTTTTGCTGACAGTTTTCTTCGATTGCAGGGGCGTGGTGCATCATGAGTTCTTGCCACAGGGTAGAATGGTCAATAAGGAATATTACCTGCAAGTTATGCGCAATTTGCGCGAAGCAATCCTCCAGAAACGCCCGGATTTGTGGAAGAACAAAAATTGGCTTTTACACCACGATAACGCCCCTGCTCACACATCGTTGCTTGTGCGCGACTTTTTGGCCAAAAACAACACACTAATGATGCTACAGCCACCGTATTCCCCAGATCTTGCCCCCTGTGACTTTTTCTTGTCCCCTAAACTGAAGAGGCCCATGAAAGGGCGACGTTACGCTACGCTTGACGAGATAAAGACGGCATCGAAGGAGGAGCTGAAAAAGATTTTTTTTTGAACGATTTTATGAAGTGCTTCGAAGATTGGATAAACCGTTGGCATAAGTGTATAATATCTCATGGGGATTACTTTGAAGGGTACAAAATAGGTATTCATGAATGAATAAATAATTTTGAAAAAACACAAAAGTCGCGATACTTTTTGAACACACCTCGTATAGTCACAGTGTAGAAAATACTATACTATACCTACTACATATATCTCTGTATTCTTAGTTCTCTTCAATTACTCTGTAAACTGGCGAATCCTTTATAGGACGAGAGGTCCTCAATAAAGCCTTTTGTTTTGTTGTTGTATATGGTTGGTTTTGTGATGAAAAGTCAATCTTAATATTTTTCCAATAGTTATTTGGCTGTGAAAAATAAACTAGTTTTTTTTTTACTAGTTTTCTTTTAATTTTTAATTTGCAAGCTTTCGATCAAATATACTGCTTGTATATGTGTAGGGGACATGTAAAAATTATTGTTTTGTATTTCTATTTTATGTAAATTTTATTTGCTTTTAAAAATTCATATTTGTTTGTTGCAAATATGCAAACTTTTTATTATCTAATTTATATATTTTTTCTATTTAATTGTATTCATTCTTCTTCTCATTCTTTTGGTTGTCTGAATATAATAGCATTAGCGAGGTGTAGCCATAGTGATTGCAATAAAAAGGCTTGATTTTATAAGGTGAATGTTTTATGTGGATTGTCGTTAATTAACCACCACATATGTATAAAAGCTTGAAAATTTAAAATTAAAAGAAACTTTTTAACCTGATTTTTTTTTACTTTTTAAAATAATTTCTGGGTAACTATTTCTCCCATAAAGATTTGATTTATTTTTAAAAGAATCATACGTTTCAAAAATAGTTCAAATATATTATAGCAGATGGCGCTCTAATGTATCATATTAAGTTCTCTGTTGTGAAAGATGTTAACATGATGTATTAGAACATAAACCAAAGATTCAGCAAATTCTACAGAATGTACTTAACTAAATAAATGACTACTAATGTAATCATACTGATATGTAAATATGTATATATCTCTTTAAATAAATAAAATTAGCGCCCCATCGGTTATAAAAAAATTAATCTATTTTTGACGGGTATGTTACTTTTAAAAATAAAACAATTTTCTACTGCCCCTTACTGCAATGATAAAATAATGAGAGGGCTTTGCTCATTAGTAGTGAACACTTCCAGCGGCCATTTTAATCTGGCAATGATAAAATAATGGAAGGGCCTTGCTCATCAGTGGTTAACCCTCCCAGCGGTTTCGTCAGTTTAATCTGACAATAATAGAAAAATGGGAGGGCCTGGCTCATCAGTGGTCAACCCTACCAGCGGTTTCGCCAGTTTAATCTGCTAATGATAAAATAATGGAAGGGCCCGGCTAATTAGTGGTGAACCCTTCTATCGGTTTCGCCAGTTTAATCTACCACCGCTAGGAGGGTTCACAACTGATGAGCCAGGCCCTCCTATTATTTTATTATTGTCAGATTAAACTGACGAAACCGTTGGGAGGGTTCACAACTGATGAGCCAGGCCCTCCCATTATTTTATCATTGCAATAAGGACAGTAGAAAATTGTTCTATTTCAAAAAAGAAACATACACGTTTTATATAGTTTTAAATTTCTTATAAAGATAATAATGATTACAGATAAAAACCGGTTGATTACCCAAAAATTCCAAGGTTTCCATAGATGTTTATTATTATCCCTAGTACATGTGGTCCAGGCCATGATAATCATGGTGGGTAGAAGTGAGCTACTAGTTTTACTGTAGGTGCACCACATACCTACACATGTGAAAAGCAGTTCGACTTTGCACTTAAAAATGTGTAAGAGCCCCGTTTGATTACTTGCACTCGCTGTTAGGGTTGGACTTTTGCAAGAATCGGAGGCCATTGGAGCATTTTTTTTTTGGAAAAAGTCCCCAATGCGGGAATTGATCCCGAGTTGTAGCGGTCGAAAACCAATGGTTTAGACCATCCTTCCACCGACCCCCTTCCCAGATGTTATTATATGTGCAAGAGCCCCATTTGGTTACTTGCACTCGCTGTTAGGGTTAGACTTTTGCAAGAATCGGAGGCCATTTGAGCATTTATTAATTGGAAAAAAAGTGTCCCCAATGCGGGAATTGATCCCGAGTTGTAGCGGTCGAAAACCAATGGTTTAGACCAGCCTTCCACTGGCCCCCTTTCCTAGATGTTATTCTGTTCTATTTATTTAAACTTGGGAAGTAAGGAATGAAAGAGAGAATAAAGATGTTCTGTTAAGCTGTTTACTACAATAGTAAAACGACATTTGAAACTTATCCAGCATGTGTTTCTTTCGAACGAAAAATCGAAATTTATTCCCGAGGAGAAACAACGGTCATTTCCAACCTCAGGGATGAAGTATGAAAAGATGAACCGTGAAGAGTAATGATAAACGAAAAAATAAAAGTGTTCAGGGATGGGAATCGAACCCATAGTGTTCCGCTTACCGGGCAGATGCCATGTCCACTATTGCTATATTGTATGCTATGGAACCATGAGAACTGAGGGGGATGTTTGGAACTGTCGTATATTTATTTTTAATTATATAATATTGTATATAATATATTAATATAATAATAATATTAAATCCACAGATTATGTGATATATTGTGTATATCATAACATATAATTTATCATCTTATAATTCGATTGTTAACTTGTAATTCTTAAGCTTGCATCTAATACGGTGTAATATAATAAAAGCCATTCAAATAAATAAAGCCTAAAATATATTTCTACTTTTAAATCAACCTAATTTTCAGCAGAAAAAATATATGGCTAAAAAAACTAATGGCAAAACATGTCAAACAGGTCAATCTTTAGAATGCTCAACTATTTTTTTCCCCTAGCCTAATATCTGCGTAGACAAAAAGAAAGCAGCATAATAGAACTACCACAAGCAAAATATACAGAAATGGCAAGCAAATAAAACAGTAAAATAATCGGAAGGGTGAGGAGACAGGCTCTCTAATATAATTCCCCATCTCTCTCAGTAAGAAAAAAAAAATAGGTTTATAAAAATGCAAGCCAAAATACAGTCATGTTAATAAATGTCAATAAATGTTCAGTAAAAAATAAAAGGGCACATGGAACTTAGGCAAATATATGACAACAAAAGACTAAATTTTAAACTATCAATGAAACATATGATTTTTTTAAGAATAACAAAACAAAGGCCATTACAACAATGACAAAACATAAGGCCATTGTTTACATACAGTAATAAAAGTTTGTAAATATTGTCAAATCTGCATTGTTTACTATCCGTAACTTTGTAAAATGTAGTGCCCTATCAACATGTCAGCAAAAAATAATAATACTCAAAAAAAAAACTAATGCCAAAATAGCCATGTTAATATTTTAGGCTGATAAAAACCAAAGGGTATAGGGATTATAGACAAACACATGTTTTGGCTGTTAAATGAGACAGTAATTCATATTAAATTTTCAATACATATGATTTTTTTTGTAAAAATATTTTTAAAAAATAAAGGCTAGAACAAAAATTAATAAAAATACGAAATCCATTGTGTACATAGTAACGATAGGTTTGTAAAGTTTTTTAAAATTGCATTTTTGTGTGCACTTACCGTAATTTAGTAATACGAATTTCTATCTCAATACTTAATACTAAATACTTTTGTAAAAAAGAGTAACACTTATAAAAAGATATTTCAAAAAAAAAAAAGTTGGGCAAGCGATTTGGAAAATATGCAAAACGCTCATTGGTCGGTTAATTCACCTGGTGTTGTCACTTCGCCTCGTATTTACTGCCGCGCAAAAAAAAAAAAAGTTCTGGAGATTCTTTACACTTTATTAAAACAATATCGAACTTTCGAGTATTTCTGCCTTCCTGCAGGAGTACATAAAAACGAATAAACGCCGTTAAGATGCTAATAATATGTACATTTAAATATTAGGAGAGATTTTGCATATTGCTTGATAGTATAATATTTCATTAAGTTAGTTTGTATTTTTTGCATATTGACTATTGTTTGTTTAATTTTAAGAATTATCATATTGACTGTAACTTTTATTTATTATTATATAAAAAAACAAAGGCCAGAACAAAAATTAATAAAAAATACGAAAGCCATTGTTTACATACAGTAACGCTAATTTTGTAAAGTATTTTTTTTTTAAATTGCATTGTGTACACTTACCGTAACTTAGTAATATAAATTTCTCTCTCAATACTTTTGTAAAAAAACGTAACACTCGTATAAAAAGATATTTTAAAAAAAAGTACGCAAGCAACTTGAAAAGAAATGCAGAACGCTCATTGGTCGCTTAATTGGCCTCGTGTTGTTACTTCGCCTCGTATTTACTCCGCGTAAAAAAAAGGTTCTTCAAATGAAAAAAAGAAATAGCCAAAAATACGAATCAAAATGTAGCCGAAAATTTTCCTCAGGTTTATAAAAAGCGACATGCAAAATTTGGTACCAATTGGTTCAGTAGTTTTTTAGTTTATCGCGAAGCAGACAGACATTGACTTTTAGATATATAGAGATTTATATATTTTTGAAAATAGAGAAATCCATAAATAAATCTTTAAATAAAAAGACATATATTGGATCAAAATATCATTGGTAAAATAAATGATATTTTTATCCAATATATGCCTTTTTATTAACATATATATACTTGTAGTAGCTGTCGTGGTCGAATGGAAGGGCGCAGCCGTTGTGCATGTAAGCTTCGAAAAAGAATTTGTTCCAAACTCGCGCTGGTTCCCACGTTTATTTTGTACAGATTTACAGATGGATTAATTTGTATTTACATTTTGACATTCTAATTATGGCGAAAATAAATTATATCTCTTGGGTATCAATTATACAAATTATGACATATATATATATGTTATATTAAAATATTTTATTTAAAATTGTTATTTAAAAAAAAATACACATTTAATGAGGAAGGCAAATAAAATGTGTATTTTTTTTTAAATAACAATTTTAAATAAAAAATATTATGTAAATAAGCTTTTCATTTTTTTTTATTCTTACGCCTTAAGTCAGGCATTTTTACCAAATTATGTTTTTATATATTCCTTAAGCACAATAAAAGCAATTACTGATCAAAACCATTTTTATTATTATTCTATCAAGAATTTAACCACGACTGCATCACCAATACCATTTATTACTAAAAAGAACCAACAAATAACTCCATAGCATAATCCCCAAGATGATCATAAATACAAGCAGAAAATCAAATCTCTTTTTCTAAATATAAGAATTATAGCCGACAGGATATTTACCTGTTTGTTCAATATACCAAAATCAAGCAAATGACCAATAATTCCTCTACAAGTAATTAATATCAAAATACAACAGAAATCTCATTCATATCTTTTTTTAAAATATAATATATATATATAGATAATAGGATATAATGTTTAGAATAAGATAGAGTGTATAGTAGAGACTATAGAGCAAGAAGAGATATATAGAAGGTGTATAGAAAATGGGATAGAGTGTATAGAATAGAGAGATATAGAATATAAGATAATGTATAAAAAATAAGAAAGAGTGTATAAAATCCCATATGTAAGGGCCAACGTATAACAAGAGCTGAAATCCCAGAATGTCAGCTTTTCAACTCCAAGACCTCACAATACAAAAGACAACAAGGAATTTTACATATTTACAGCCCGTGGGCAGAAGACACGTGAATTATATTCGCCCACATGTTTGTGGGTGGGAGGGCATATTCCACATTTTACAACATTTCACTTAACAGGTTGACAAACACTAAAAAAAAAAGATCAAAATAAAAGTCAGGCTGCAAGCTGATTGGTCCACGAAACCCTACTCGGCCTCCTATTGGCTGTGACGTCACGGGGCGTTGGCTAATCAGATGAAGCGCTGGAACTTGCGTGTTTGGCAGGTCTTAGTCAAGTTGTGTCGAGAAAGGTAGGTTGCATGGTACCATGTCTTCTTACATAGACAGAACCTCCTGTGTATACACATGGACAAAACTTAAGGAAGTTGTACCTTTTAGCATGTATTACAAAGATATTACAGTGACCTTTATTGAAGTCACACATGATAACCAAGTATAAACAGCCTAAGTCTCCTTAGAAAAAAAAGAAACAGACGACCGGTGTCATCAAAAACTTTTCACTTCCATAAGTTTTGTCCATGAATGTACATAGCCTGGTAAAATAACATTGTAACCCTCAAAATGATGATAAGTTTTTTAACGCCAATTTTATACTTTGCTAACAAACATATCATAGGGATTTGCATAGATTTTCTATTGAACTATAAGGACATTATGTAAAAAGGGATAACAACTCTCATTTCTGGTTTCGTGACTCATTTTTATTGTTTCATCTTTGTAAATATCTTCAACGTCGACCACTTTGCCTTTATTAATGGTTTCTAAATTAAATAAAGAAACATTTTTGAATTCTAAGGCAATACAGTGTCATCTATATGTGACAAATAAAACTATTAAGAACGAAATTTATTTTTTTTTATATAAAACAAATTTTCTCTACTGTCCTTATTTATTTATTTTAGTAAAAGGCAATTAGAAGATTTCCAGAGATTTGTGTTCCACCAAAGTACTACATAAATCTACATTTATATGTATCTAAAGAGATAAAGGTCGCCTCTCCCGTCAAAACAGACGTTAAAACTAGACGCCATCTATAATAGATGCTAAACCTCTTTGGCAGATTATGAAGATTCCATTAGATCCCGTGTGGATCTCATGGAATAAAGTCCGCCCTAGACTAACAAGGGCCATTAGCCCGAAACCATGGTCTCTAGGTGGACGCTTTTCAATTTACCAAAGCTGGTGTTGTGGATTTGTCACCGACCTGAGGCCTCTAGTTTGCGGCGACGGTCAATAGTTGGCGTCTAGTTTTGACGTCTATTTTGACGGGAGAGGCGACCTTTGTCTCTTTAGATCAATATTCTCACGGCAAAATTTCCATCTATATTTATATGTACCCATTTCTTGATTTCTCAAGAGCCATTGGGTCCAAAAAATATTTTTTGGATGCAGTGGTTACAGCCTACTCCACGCTGACGAGCGCCAACAGCGCGAAACGCGTTCGTGGATGGCTTTTCTTGATTTATCAAGAAATTGGGTTGGCCAAATATCACGGAGCAAGCTAAATAAACGTTTAGTTTATTTTTGCTCCACTAGATGGCGCTCTGCCATCTAAAAAGCACATGTGCTCGTGGTCAGGGGATGCCTTCTTTATTTTTAATATCAACACCTGACCCACTTATCTTTTATTTTTTTCTATTGTTTTCTCATATTTATATGTATTAAAAATAAAGAAGGCATCTCCTGACCACGAGCACATGTGCTTTTTAGATGGCAGAGCGCCATCTAGTGGAGCAAAAATAAACTAAATGTTTATTTAGCTTGCTCCGTGATATTTGGCCAACCCAATTTCTTGATAAATCAAGAAAGGCCATCCACGAACGCGTTTCGCGCTTTTGGCGCTCGTCAGCGTGGAGTAGGCTGTA